CACTTTGTTCATTTCCTATTCGTCTCGCGGGTAGCCCCGAAGTAGCACGCATGATTCTTACGTTTTTGCTTCGTCCCGGGATTAGAAATGAGCGGCTTTAGACATGACGTCCTCGCCGAAACACGGGTCTGCATGGTTGTCTCCTTTTTGCCTCCACCTCCCGTCCTTTCTCCCGACATCGTGTGTCATCTCTCACTCTCTATATATATATATGTATCGATATCTATCTATCTATCTATCTGTCTATCTATCTACCTATCTATCTATCTATCTATATATATATATATCTATATATTCATCTATCTATCCATCTATCTATCTATATATCTACCTACCAATCTATATATCTATCTATCCATCTATCTATCTATCTATCGATCTATCTATCTATCTATCTATATATCTATCTATCTAGCTATATATCTATATATCTATCTATATATATATGTATATCTATCTATCTATCTATCTATCTATCTATCTATCTACCTATATATCTACATATCTACATATCTCTATCTATCTATCTATCTATATATCTATCTATCTACCTACCTATCTATCTATCTATCGATCTATCTATCTATCCATATATATATAGGTATCTGTCTATCAATCAATACATATATCTATCTATCTATATATCTATACATCTATCTATCTATCTATCTATATATCAATATATATATAGATATATATCTATCGATCTATCTATCTGTCTATATATCTATCTATCTATCTATATATCTACCTATCTATCTATCGATCTATCTATCTATATATCTATCTATCTACCTATTTACCTATCTACCTATCTACCTATCTATCTATCTATCTATCTATCTATCTATCTATCTATCTATCTATACACAAGATATTACCAGCTCGCTGCGCTTCGCCTTTAAAATCTTGGTCGCATGGCGTCGAGGAGGCGCAATGAGATCGGTTGTCGTCACAGCCGCGGTGTGTTCTGGCCATGGAGACCATGGAGCAAACAGGGCTGATAGGACCCAGGGCATATTGCGGCTCAGAAAGCTCAGAAGGGGTCTCTGCCGTCATGGGGCCCAGGGGCTCGGAGCCCCCATTTTAGGCGAGGGGTGATGCTGCCGATGCGGCTCCAGGGGGTCATGAGACTCACAGGGTTCACAGGGCTCATGGGGTTCGTTGGGGTCCTGGGACTGTTTGTGCACATCGGGCACGGGGCTCATAATGCTGAGTGGCTTTTACAGAGGTCATGAGGGTCATAGGAGGCTCATGGTGCTTATAAAGGTCCTGGGGCTCCTTGGGGTCATCAGCTCTTGGGGGCCATTGGGCTCATGCAGCTGGCAATGCTCCTGGGGGCCATAGGGCCCATAGCGCTAACAGAGCGCGTAGGAGCCCTATGACCCCTATGACCGCTATGAGCCCTATGAGCCTTATGAGCCCTATGAGCCCTATGAGCCCTATGAGCCCTATGAGCCCTTTGTGCTTTATGAGCCCAATGAGCCCTATGCGCCCTATGAGCCCAGTAACCCCTATGATCATCATGAACCCAATGAGCCATATGAGCCCTGTGAGCCTCATGAGCCCTATGAGCCCTATGAGCCCTATGAGCCCTATGAGCCCTATGAGCCCTATGATCCCTATGAGCCCTACGAGCCCTATGAGCCCCATGAACCCTATGAGCACCATGAGCCCAATGAGCCCTCGAGCCCTATGAGCCCTATGAGCCCTATGAGCCCTATGAGCCCTATGGGCCCCATGGGCCCTATGAGCCCTTGAGCTTTATGAGCACTATGGGCTCTATGGGGCCTATGAGCCCTATGAGCCCAATGAGCCCTTTACGCCCTACGAACCCATGAGCCCTATGAGCCGTATGAGCCCCATGAGTCCTATGAGCTCTGTGAGCCCTGTGGGCCCCATGAGCCCTATGACCTCCACGAACCCAATTACTCCAATGAACCCTAGGAGCCCAATGAGCCTTAAGAGCCCTACGAGCCATGAGCTCTCCGAGCTCCATGAGCCCCATGAGCCTGACGAGCCATTTGAGGCTTACGAGCACTAGAAGCCCCATGAGCTTTATGAGAGCACGAGCACCAGGAGCCCCATGAACTCAATGAGCCGAGCCCCACAATCCCCCCCCCGACCCTCCGTGACACCATATGAGCGCGATGACCCCTACGAGGCCCATGCGCCCTATGAGCCCTCAGCACTGGGAGCCGTGAAGCTTTGCGAGACCCATGATGCCCCCCTCTGAGCCCTACGAGCCCAGTGAGCCGTATATGGCCTGTGGGCCCTATGAGCCCTATGGCCCCGTCTTGCCCCTTCACCCCAATCGGCCCCATGAGCCCTACGAGGCCTACGTTCCCCCTTCTCGTCCAGCCTCTTCCTGTTTCCCTCCTCCTCCCTCTTTCGACCTCCTTGCTCCTTCTCCTCTCCTTGCGTGCCTCTCCCCCAGGAGAGCGGGCTTCACCTGCGGTTCTGAGTGGAGGATTCGCAGTGGGGCACCTTCGGCCGTCTC